GTTTGGGGGTACCCAAAGCGCGGGGTTCTCCCTTTCTGAAGCTTCCTACTAATAAATCTGCCTCTCGCGCGCACAATACACGCGCTCGCGAGTACAGTATACATGTACCATTAGTAAGATTAGCGAGTACGACACATGTACTCGCCAATGGTGCCAAAATGTCCCTACCTATTTCGTATCAAGCTTTGCCTTTTCTGCCGAAAGGGGGAGCTCACTTGACCCCGGTGGGGTCAACGACCTGAAACCGGCGCCTATCGTTCACTAATGACTTAGCGTTGGCCGGTGCCTAGGCGAAGAAGGGGTGTCGGCGCCTTTGGAGCCTCCCTCACGCGGCACTCAGCGAAGGGACAATGACAGCAGCAACGGGTATCAGTGGCCCCCATCCCGCGAAGCCCCGAGGGCCTTTAAAGTTTACCAACACCTGGAATATAACAAGTTCACACTACTAAACTGTCTACGCCACATATCGGAGACCAGCACGGGACATGAGCCCCAGTCGAACGGTGACGCGGCTCTCGTTGTCTAATCTGGCTGTGTCCCACGCCGGTCTCTGATGAATTACACTCAGGATAATACAGCACAACGGACGCGCCTGGTGACAGCCATCGCAACCGACGCTACGTGCTCATGAGACCAATCACAGAGTCGAACGCGGACCATCGTGGCGACTGCCCAGTGATTTGGCCATAATACATACAACCCGGTCACGAGTTCCCGACCGCGGTGCAAGGTCAGCCTACCTGTTGGGGTGACGACAGCTACAGCAACATCAACGCTTATGGTCAAAATGTCCAAAAAGGCCAAAACGTTCATCTAGACACAAACATCCAGAGTACAGAATAGTTCTCTTTGTACGAAGTTTTTGGTTGGAAAACCGAAAACCAAGAGGTGCGATAACAGCACGTAGTGTAGCGAGTAATCAATAACCACAACCCGCATCTTTTGTTTTTTTTCTTTAGCCAGGCTTGGAACTTTAGAAAAAAAAAAAACAAGTCGAGTATGGTAGAGCTACGGGCAGGCTCAAGAGCAAGCTGCGTAAGGGCTAAGCGGTCTACCACGCATTTGCACTCTATACCTGTTTTCACCTGAAGAACTGTAGTAAAACAAGTCCGGCTTCTCGCGGAGCATTACTAGTTTCCCCCTCCATGTTGATAATTAAGATGCATGTAGGTGAATTTTGTGGTTCTCAAATGGGGGTCCGCGGACCCTTTGGAGTCCGCGATGGCATTCTAGGGGTCCGCGAAGCCCTGCCTCATCAGTCAAGCCCGGCAATAAAAGTTGTATTTTTTTTAAGATTGAGAAGAAACATTCCAATTTTCGGGTTAGTTTTCTCGAGTGTATGTCAATGAGAGAAGTCTACTTTACAGTAGCCCTAAGTTATATCCATTTATTAAATCAATATCATGATCAACCTATACATTTTCCTTCCCCTCACCACGAACGGGGTCCTCCATCATCTCCGCCGATCCACAAGGGCAGTGGCGTACCAACTTGTTCTTGAGTGTGGGGGGAGGGGGGGGGGGGGCAAACCAGACCTTCCCCCCCTCCCCTAGGGGGGTCGTGCCTTTGGTATTCCTTGGGCGCCGCTGGCCAGTTTTTGCCCTGTCCAGTGGCGGCTGTTTCGGGAGGGAGGGGGGCAAAACACATGTCCTGCCCTGCCCCCCCCCCCCCACTCTGTGAACTGGGGGGGGGGGGGGTGTAAGCGCCCCCCTTGCCGCCGCACCCCATTCCCCCCCGGTTGGTATGCCCATGCACAAGGGGTTCGCGAAACATCAATGGTTGAGAACCACTGTGTTATCTTATCAAGACGTACACGTTGCAAACGCCAAAAACATCGTTTTTTCCTCCGACAACCAAATCTCGTAAGAACTACTTCGCGCCGCGTATGAACATTGCTCAAAACTTGCTTTTGTCTTGAGGTGAAAACGGGTATAGATTTAACGAGACATAAAGTCCATCGAATCAAAATATCCATCTTGGCCAAAACGTGCAAGTTTGGACATAATAGCGAGTTTTAGAATAGAGGGCCCCACAGCTTTGGGTGCCCCAATCAGCTCGGGGCATCGCAATGGGCATGCGCAGTGGGACGCCCCAAGCTGTGGGGCCCCCTACTCTAAAACTCGCTTTTGCCTTGTTGACCGGTGACGTTTTAGCGCGCGATCCGACAGCATTGTCGAATGGCTCTCCCGCCGACCTCGAAACTCCCAAGCAGATTGTGAGAAAGAGGCTTCCTGCCGAGAGCTGTGCGCTGCTGAGTCACGCTCAGCTTCAAAAGACAAGGTGGAAGCAGAAGATGGGACGAAAGTGCTGCCCTGTCTTCCACTAGACCTTTGGGCGCCGTGTTTATTTCTATATGCGCAACCAACTAGTCCGGACGTTTAGTTTGCTTCGGAAAAGAACCCTATAGAATTGGCAGAGACACTCCATGAAGGTGTTTGCATTTATCGAGTTTATCGCAGAGATCGCAAATATCCCTTTAGCAATATCATATTGCAGGGGTACTCTCGTATTTTCAAAAACAATGTAAAACGATTTTCGGATGGTTTTCCGAATATGCACATGTCACAATGTGTAGAGTGCACCTGTTGTTGCCAATGGAGTTGACTACAAGAAGGCCAAAACTGCGCTAAAATCGACGAAGGACACCAGAAACAAGGCGCTGTGTGTACACTGTATTCATGACTGCAGTAAAACGGACGGCACCTAGTGGGAAAACACCGAAGTGAACGGAACAAATGGTCCTTTCACGATTTCTGCTAGTCTCTCGTGGCTTCCGTGATACGTGTTGTCGGCGGTTGGAACACTTATCCGGGTGACTCTGTCGTAACAGCGTGCTGCCCAGGATTGTGAGTTTATTAACGTTCATCAGCACCGCAGTCCTTCCATCGCTTCCCCGAAAAAGGTCAGACCTCTGGTAGCTCATCACGCCACCTGTCTAAGACCGCCATATCTGCCCGATAGCGCTGAAGAACCAGTGGAAGGTTTTGGTTGTTTCATTATTTATAGCGATCTCAGCTCACAGATACAACAAGTTGAAAAAAAGCATGCTGACGCAGCAGCACGCAACTGTGAACAGATTCCCACCTCAACCACTATGCAAGACAGCTTCAATCGAGTAGGTCTGCGGTGGAACGGACCACAGCAACCAGCCATCGTTGTGACACTGTAAGTCAAACCGCGCACGCAGTTCTGTTCCTGACGCGAAAGGAAGGAGAGAGAGAGAGAGAAACAAGAGAGGGGAAAGAGTAAAAAAGAAACAAAGAAAGCCGCGATAGGCGAGAAGGCTGGGAAAAGCCGACCTTGCCGCCGCGACCACCCGCAAACAGGAATCAATCTTGAAGGGGTCCCAGGCCAGCAACATCTTTGCTTTCTTTCTTTTTTCCCGCCGAAGGGGGGGAAGGGAAAGGGGGGGCTACAAAGAAACCAGAGGGCCCCCCTCCGATACTGGACCGCTTTCTCCAGCCGAGAGGAAGGAACGCTACGAGCCACCCCCTCGGTATAAATAAAATTGGGGACGCACGTCAGGGGAGTACCTGGGGGGTTGGCTTCGCCCGCCAGCAACGACGCGCAGAGGGGCTCTTCAAAAGCGCTGCATCGCGGAATGCCCCCCACGGAAATAATGAAAAAAAGAAGAAAAAAAAAGTGTCTGAGACCTGTCAGTAGGAGAACGGCCAGACCATTTTCCCCACGCGCACGCTTCCGGACTTTATGCTCGGCGAAGAGAACTGGCCGCCCCTACGGGCCGGCTTGATGTCTGCCGCCGGACGACTTCGAAACGCCTTGCTTCTGCTCGGAAGTTCGTTTGAGGTACGGATCTACGTTCCTTCTTCGGAGTCGAAGGGACACGGCTGTTGGGGTCGGATTTTGTGCCGCGCGGGGTGTTTAGCGTTCGTAACGGCGCTGGCGAAGGAGACGTCAACCCAGGAATGGGGTCACAAAGAGCCTGCTCGAGAACGCGGACGGAACTTCCTCAGCATCGCGATGTGCAACCGGCCGGATTCCTAAGCTGGTTAAAACATAAAAAAAAAAAAAAGAATAGACAAAGTTGAAGTTTGATTAAGTATAACGAAAAATCCACTTTCGTTGGCTCCCAACGTTCGGGCGATGGATTTTAGGATGGATTGCTACTAACTCGCGCATGAATGGAACACGGTTTTCGCCCCAAATTAAGATCGAAGTTGACGGGCCAGCCGCGAAAGGACTCGCCATTCATCAGCGTAATCAATTACCCAAGACGGATGCGTCGACAGTTTGAAAATGCCGCCAAAACGCTGGCGCTCGTCTCAACGTTCGGCTAAAGAACAGCGCGTTAACGGTTTCCCGGGATTTTCACCATCCCCTTCCTTTCAAAAACAGACACGCACACCACACACACACAAAAAATAAAAAGCCAAAGCATTCACAAACGAAGCAAAATATGAAGTTGTACGACCATAAACATCGGTTAGTACGAAACACCGGAAGAGTTTATTGCTCCAGCGCTACGCGGGTACGCTTCAACCAAACCGAGCGGACAGCATTCCGACGAAGGACGTCTGAAGGAACGACAAGCTTTGAAACAGTAAAAACTTTCGGACGGAATAAAATTAGCAAAAAAAGGTAGGCGCGCTTGTGCGAATCGATAGTATACGAGACCGTTAGGCCTAGCCTCGTACACGGAACAGAGTGCAGAAAAACTCCGGAGGCAACAAAGTTTACTTGGCTCGAATGAACCGCCTTAACAAAATACTGTTCGAATGTTGGTACGACAGTGACGACGCGAGTGTTTTGCCACTAAAACACGGAGGAAGACCGGATTTAAAAGACTGATTTAGAACGTTAGAACTCGCTCGTACGACGCGATGCATGCGCGAACGGGACATTTCTCCGTACGGGACGTTTTGCAACGCGAGGAGTCCCAAGAGTTGCAAAAGTCGATCACGACGGTAAACACGGCAGCGAAGCGATGCGAGCGACTGCCAAGTTAGTTTGGGACGACTTTTACGAACACAACAACCCACCTTTTGGATCTGCCGTAGCGCCGTCCGCGCATCTGTCCAACTAGTCCGTGTGAGAAGACCCACATCATGTCGCCGATGGAGCGTCGACGACGGCGATAACCGGGGGCTCATTTCGTCGAACTCAAAGGCACACGGCACTCTCCGGTCGCCGACATTGTGGCGGGACGCCGCCAGATTTCCACACTTCCAAATCAACAACACCGGACCGCACCAACGCACGACAGCGGCACACCGTAGGAAGCGAACGCCGCTCGCATTTCGACGGGGATCGCAGCACCTTGACACCTCCGTAACCTCATCCTTAGATCCAGCATCGGCGACGACGCACAGCACAGAACACGAGCGACACTACGAACACACTGACCACGTCGTCACTTGCACGCGAAACACGGCGATTCCCGACTTCGGCAGCACCGTTCACCGCCGGTTCTCCATCACATCCGATCACGGAGCGCGGAGCGGATCGCACGAGAGCGCTCGCTCGCCGCCCTCGCAATAACGGCGCCACCGTCGGCGTCACGTGACAAGCGTCGCGATCTCCGATTGGTGGGCGGTTGCCCGGCGACGGGTTGACTCTCCTCTCTCGTTCTGGAGTCTCCCCTCTCGGGGACCACACACGGCGATGGCGTTCTCATAATCGCGCGCTTGAAGATGCGGGATTAGGCGAGAAGGAGGCGAGGGGAGGCCAACTTTATAGCTTTTATGGATGGTCTCTTTTGCAGAAGAAAGATGTTTCCTCGGACGTGTCTGAAAGTAGACACAAGAGAAGGAGGCCCCGTGCGTGTGCTTCTTGCGAGGGGATGGCTTCCCGGGAAAGATAGTTGATGTCTGTTTGCCGAGAATGTGTCCGTGTGTCCCGGGGGCCCACCCGCGGTACAGATCGAAGATAGCCGATCGAGAAAGAATGAAACGTTCGACCGAGAACATACATATTTTATACACATCGGAATGAAGCGCCCAAATGCGATCCTTGCGTGGCTTTGTGGATATGAAACTGCGAAACAGGCGGTCGTTGTTGCTCTGGTGATTAGCGAGAACTTTTGTAAAATAGTAGGAATCTAATCTCAAGATTGTGTGGTCTTCATCTCGTCATATTCAAGATTTTCCTTCCACGGATGTAGATTTTAATGTGATACTTCGAGAACTGAGCTTAAATGTATTTTCAACATGTCTAAGTCCACCCCTTTTTTTCTCCCTTTAAATCTCGTTGAGAAAGACAGAAATCAGTTCCAGAATTTTCGTCGCTTTTTGGTTTCTCAGATTTTCTTTTCCGTACAGAGCACCTTCTGATATCTTTCATATAACATTAATTTTTATTTTTTACCTTATCAACGAAATAATTAATTAAATCCTCCTTTGAACCGGGAAAATCACAAAAAAGAAAGGGAGACCTTCTGAGCTCATGTACGTTTTTATTTGTAGTCTTTTTTTTTATTTCACTGAGTATAAATGTCTGAATGCCTTATCGTTTGATTACCTGGAATTAAAAAAAAATATATATATAAGATCCATATTGACTTCTTTTACCTTAATCGCAGTAATTATGGCCAATCAGGAGGTCTGATTATAAAAGAGCGCCGTTGGCACTGTACCAGCACGACGAGCGAAAGGTGCGTGTAACAATAATAATCTTGAAGTCACAGACACGAATATCACGCGCACCTTGCGGCTTATTCGAAAGTAAATTTTGCGGTGAGCCTGGTGGCGCCATCTCGTAGGGAGTGACTAAACTTGCCAACTTCTAGTTTCGGTTTCGGAATTGGGCGCCCGCGTGGATGCCGCTCACTTTGCCCTTTGGCGCCACGTCGCAGCGGCGTCAAGTCATCACAACACGGGACCGAATGTATTAGATAGTTCTACTAGATCGTTCCGATGACACTCCAATAGCGATACCCGAAACCCCGCCGCCGCCCTTGCGCATGTATTGCATCGGGTATCGCCATCGGGAGTATCGGAGGTCCGCTTGAGTTCCGCGTTCCGTGCCTTGGCTGCGCTAAACTGCGAAGCTCTTGCTATTTGCAACTCCAGCGCGCCGCTCGCCCTCCCGCGGACGAACGGAGAACCAGAGGAGCGGGGACGGCAGCGGCAGCGCGGCACGGAAACAGTGGCAGAAACTGTCAGCCTTCATGCGTGAGGCCGTTTTAACGAAAAAATTGAGCGCGTTAAAAAAGGAATTCTTGTGCTCCACCTTGCAACAGCCTTGCACGAAGGACCGGGATGTCTAATTTCATTAGGGACGTTTCGTGTATCGCATACGCTGAGGATTTCTGGTCTTGTGCATGGCCGCCAGCTCAATCTGTGCTCAACGTGACGGAAAACGCTTCCGCTAATAATGAAGAACTCTATAGTACGGTCTCCGGAAAGTCTATTCTTTGCCATAAGTAGGAGAAAACTCGTCTCGCAACGGGTGTGTCGACCAATACAAATCGGGAATGGGTTCGCGTTTTAAGGCCGGTACAAGGAAAATGACCATTTATTCCAAGCACTTTAAATAGACAGAATACCCGTACTTGCTTTTAGTTAATTACGAACAAATAAAGAAATGCTCGAAGCATTTTAAGTGCGTCTGTGTTAGCCAGCCGTTCGTCACGAGAGCTTAGAACGCGCAGTTTTGGCCAGAGAGACCGCAATGTTGCAAATAACACGGTACAAAAATTTACGGTATATTAAAATATTTCTTTTTAATAGAGCAATGAATAAAACCCCTAAACACGCCGATTTTGTTAATAGGCAGTTTTTGCATAGCGTACGACACCCCTAAACTTCAGTTGGACGTACAGCGCACTGTCGTTCAACCGACGCTACCAACTTCACGAGCGGCTTGATAGTCGTGTTGTGCAACTTATTAAAATAGCTTAAGTAAGTGTAAATGACTGTAAAAAAAAAAGTAATCGTTTTTGTTTTTAATCCTACTGCAAAACATTGTGTTTTTTTTTTCTCGGTACTCTTTGATGCGTACTTTAGCTGTTTAATATCTTTTAATGCGCCGTCATCAAGCCTCTCGTAAAAGTTGGGGCCGTCAGTTTGACGTCAGTGGGCTGCACGACGAACTGAAGTTTTGGAGTGTCGTATATGTGACAAAGGAATGTAAGGACTACAACATTTTTTTTTAGAGTGATGAGCACGGCAACGCTCTAGGCGTGCACTGAAAATTGTGCTTCAAAGGCGCAGCGCGAGCTTGCGGTTGTAATGCTACACGGCATGGTAGCCTGCGGTAACAAACTTTTTATCAATAACGAGAGAGCAGTTTGATTACGTGTTGCAATACACTAAAACCGAGACGGTCAGCAGCGGGTTGTGAGGCTGTGACGCGAAGACGCCAATACTGTGAACGCTGCTCTCCCGAGGCTTGACGGTCACCGTTCGCGGCTCTCTTTTTAGAGCACTAATGGCCAGGCAAAGCACAAACGTATCTCAATCACCCTCAAAAATATTCTGCCACAAACAGTAACGTGGCCGGTGCCTAAAACGCGCTCGCTCACCACAAAGCTTCGCACTTTGAGGTTTCTGCAACTTTTAAATAACAGCATGCTCGTTTTCCTAACGTGCATCAACATCTCCGTCACCTGTAATATTATCCCTCCCTAACCGCTTCGCATTTGTAGACAAACAAATCATTTTTTAGCGCGCTGAACAGCGTCAGCGAGCAGGCACACGGGTTATCCTGGAGAATCTATCCCCGTCTCTTCCGCCACCTTGGAACTACCGCCCCTTGTTTCACTGTCACTGTGTTTCACACTAAAGTGTGTCGCCTTTCTTTTCCTTTCGCCGCCAACTACTCGTTGGCGGAAAGGGGGGGGGGGGGGGGGGGGGGGTCACATGCACCAAATTTGACTAAAGCGCTTGCGGGGAAGCCGCCTTCAGGAGCGCCGACTCCGAGTCATGGGCGGCTCGGCGCTCCCGAAGGCACACTTTTACATTTTACATTATATTTTTAATATCTTTATTCACCATATACAAGCATGATGAATCATGCGTGTACATGTCACTCTGCGTTAGTGAAATGTCGATCTTACACTGATGTCTGACGAGCAGGAAGCTTCTTGAACCTACGGACATTATGCGCGCCAGTGTAATTGCGTTGTTTTTGTAACGCGAGCGCCGTTTCAGGTCGGCCGTGTACTGCAAGCAGACAACACAAGAACCGACGACGCAGCGCGCGCGCCGCTCTCGCGGCCAGGGTGGAAAATAAAAACTAATATGATTTAAATTGTGATTTAAATCGAAGCTTTCCCGCAAAAATTACCCCAAAAGTATATTTTTATTCATCGTTTGTCATTTGATGCTTTCTGTGTGCGTTTGTTTTGTGTGTAAATCAAAGAACCATCGAGCAAGAAATATTTATATAAGGCTTAAATGAGCAAAAACAAATGCCCTTCTGAGCGAATCAAAGCGTTATACTTGATTTCTAGCTTCCACTTTGTCAGTGGCTTAACATCCTACAGCAAAATCAGGACACAAAAGAAAGAAACGAATACTAGAAAAGTAATGCCCTATAGCAACGAGTAAGAACGAGAAGGAAAAATTAAATAAAGATTTTTGACCAACTAGAAAAATCAAGTTGTCTTTGTTCTAGTATGGGAGAGATTACATCAGTCAAAAGTTTTAAATTAAACTGCATTTTACATTGACAATAATTCTTTCTTCCGCATTGTTATCAATGATGGGCGAATTGTTCAATCAGTTGCTATGTTGGTTGAGAAATATATAGCTAGTGAATCACTATTTTCTAGCTACAATTGTTTAAATCAAACTAATATGATATCAATCAATTAAATTTTGATCTAAAACAATGAAATTTGATTTGTTTAAAATAATTTTATACGTGCGCGTTTGTTGCGTTTCCTTCAAAATCGATGGTCGCTTCTCCCGTAATACCTGGAGGCCAAAATTGGAGATCGCTGCGATGCTCTGCCAGCAACCGGAGCCGTGCGCCGTTGCTGGCCAATGACTTGCGGAACGACGGACGGAGGGACGGGGGACAGATTTCGGATGTTAAGTTCCCTTGGATGCATCATGTCATGCGGTAATACAAAATGTGAAATCCACAAATCATTAGAAAGGGGTTGATATGAATTTATTACCTCAAACAATTATGAAATAATCATTTTAATTAGTGAGACATATGCTTCAGTCATCTTACGATTTTACATTTCGGTCACCAGGCCGCGCCGTTGTTCGCTGCTCACTCGGATAAGTGGTGGCACGCCGCTGCGTCACGCCTTTTTCACCAAGATGTTCTCGCCTCCGTTGGAGTTGCGTAGTGTGCCTTGATTTGAGAGTGTTTCCAAGTGCTCGATCAAGGTCGCGTGATTTTGAAGGGCCTACTCCGCTCAATTCCGAAGATTTCGGGATAATGAGTGATTTCACATTAAACAGCACTAATCAAATACACTACGTCATTTGCTCCGCGAAAAAATGGGATATATATTGTTAA